TCAGGGCTCGAACCCATGTCCCCTGCATTGGCAGGTGGATTCTTAACCACTGAGCCACCAGGGAAGTCCCAGGTTTTTATTACATCATATTCTACTTCAAGAACCAATGCGAGAAATGGCAAAAAAATTTAAGGCCATTTTAAATTCACCATAGGCTTCTTCTGCATGTCATTGTGTTTCATTCATGTTGTTTTATGTAGCAGTTGTTCATTCTTCTTCATTGCTGTACTGTATTCCATTGGATGACTAAATCACATTTGCTTGTCCATTCTCCTGTTGATGGACATTTGGTTGTTTGTAATTTTTGGCTATTATAAAGAAAGGTTTATGAAAATAATTGTACATATCTTTTGGTGAACATATGTACTAATTTACCTTGGGTATATATCTAGGCGTGGAATTGCCGGGTCATAATTAGCATAGATTTAGTATAACTTCCAAGACTTTTCCAAAATATTCAATTTATACTCCCATCAGGAAAGTAGAAGAGACCCAATTCATCCATATTCTTGGCGAACCTTGATACTTTCAATTTTTAAAAAATATTTAGTCGTTCTGGTAGATGTGTGGTGGCATCCCATTGTTGTTTTTTGTTTTTGTTTTTTTTTTTTTGCGGTACGAGGGTCTCTCACTGTTGTGGCCTCGCCCGTTGCAGAGCACAGGTTCCAGACGCGAAGGCTCAGCGGCCATGGCTCACGGGCCTAGCCACTCTGCAGCATGTGGGATCTTCCCGGAGCGGGGCACGAACCTGTGTTCCCTGTCATTGTTGTTTTAATTTTCGTTTTTCTGATGACTCATGATGTTAAGCACCTTTCCATATATTTATTGTTCTTTTAGCTGTCCTCTTTTGTGAACTAGTTGTTCAAGTCTAGCCTATTTTTAATTGTTTTTTAATTGATTTGTAAGAATTCTTTGTTATGGAGATAAGTCTTTTGTTGAATATATGAATTATGAATACCATCTCTCAGTCTTTTGTTTGCCTTAACAATGTTTTTTGATGAACTAAAATTTTAAATTTTAATGAAGTCCAATATAACAATCTTTCCTTTCATGGATAGTGCTGTTTTGTGATCTTTTAAGGAAATCTATCCTATCCTAAGCCATAAAGATATTTACCTACTTTTTTTTTTTTCTTAGAAGCTTTATGGTTTTACCTATCACATGTAGGTATGTGATTCATTTCCAATTAATTTTTGTGTGAGATAGGGGGTCAATAATTTTCATATGAATTCAATTCAAATGATCCAGAATCATTTATTGTAGAACAATCCTTTCCCCACTGAATTTTAGCAGCACCTTTGTTGAAAATCAGGTTATCTTATATGTATTTATGGGTCAGTTTCTGGACTTTGTATTCCATTCCATTGATCTTTTGTCTATCCTTGCACCACACTATCTGGATTACTATTTAAATTGTTGTTGTTATTGTTTTTCAATGTTAAACCAACCTTGCATTCTTAGAATAAACCCAATGTCCTTTTGATTTACTGTTCTATCTATATATTGCTGAATACAGCAGAGGACTTGCATTCAATTTGCTGATATTTCATTTGTTCTGAGGAGAGAATGGACTTTAATGTTTACTTTTCTTGAAATATCCTTGTCAGATTTGGGCGTCAAGTTTAAGGTAGCCTCACAAAATTTATTGGTAACTGCTCTCTCTTTTTTCATTATTTGGAATAGTCTGTGTAAGATGGGTGTTATTTCTTTCTCAAAATTTTGGTAGAATTTACCAGCTGTGCCATTTGAGATTGAGGTTTTCTTTATGAGAAATTTTTTTTTTTTACTTATAGAGTCAGTTTCTTAAATAGGTATAAGATTGTTCAAATCTTGTATTTCTTCTTGCATAGCTCTTGATTATGTGTTTTTCTAGGAATCTGTCCATTCATCAACATTTTCAAATTTATTGTCTTAGAGCTGTATCCTCTTATGATCTTTTTAATGTTTATGGTATCTGTAGTGATGTCATTTTTATTGTTCTAATATTGGTTAATTTTGCTTTTCTTCTTGATTGGTCTTTCCAGGGTTTACTGAATTTATGATTCTTTTTAAAGAGCTAATATTAGTTTGTGGACCACCCCCACTGAATGTTTGCTTTTTCTTTTACTAATCTCTCTTCTTTTTAATTTCCTTCTTTCTATTATTATTATCTGGTTTAACCTTCTTTTTCTAACTTCTTGAGATGTATGTCTTTATCATTGATTTTCAGCCTTTCTTTTTTCTAATCCATGAATTTCAGGCTATAAATTGCCCTCCAGATTTAAGTGCATTTCATAATTTTGCTATGATACATTTCCATTTTTATTCAGTTCAAAATATTCTGTCAGTCCATTGTGACTGCTCAGTTGATTGGGCTGTTTAGAAGTTTATTGCTTAATTTCCAAACAATTGGGAATTTTCTAGTTACTTAGTATATAGTTGATAACATTTGTTGCTGACTTCTCAACAGAAACAATGAAAGTTAGAAGAAATGGAACCATGTCTTCAGAGAGCTGAAAGAACAACTGCTAATCCAGTAATCTACACCCAGAGAAAATATCCTTTATATTCAGTGTCCTCTCTCCCTACAGGCAGAACTGAGTAATAGTTTGTGTTGGATTCTGTGTCTGTCACTTAAGAGGTATGGTTCCCTGGGGACATTAACTGCGTGGGCATAAGAGTGGTGTGGGGGTCCTTGCTACGGTTAGGGCCTCCTTTTGTTAGGATTGAAGGGCTAAATACATCTCTTGCTGATTACACATTCTTTCTTTAGATATATTAATACCTTCAATCAGGCTTTGGTGTTATATCAAATCTTGGCCCAGGGATTCTTCAATCCCTGTAAGGGTTTATTATCTCCATTCTAATTTTATTTCCCTGTTTCCTCTTCTTGGCATTGCCTCAATATTGCTCCACCATATCACCTGTTATGCAGCTGAATTTTTCTCAAGAGATGTGCCCACATTCACTCACACCTGCAGTACAAGACAGAGTCCACCTCACTGAGCCCTTCTGCCACTGATTATTTCCATTGAGCAAAAATCATCTGTGCCAATCTGACAGGTCAGCAATGGCATGTGAACCAGTTTTAAGAAATGCATATTAAAGCTTCTCTGCTGAAATAGTCATCTAAGTCTTACAGTAGAAGAAGACATTTTCTTCCAAGGAGTCTGACTTTGCTCAAAACACTCAATTTTCTGTTAAGGAATGGCTGGGAAAATCTGTGACTCATTTCTGTGCAACCACATGTCCAAAGCCTCAAATCAAGATACGTCATCTCTTTAAACTATTTTGCATATATGTAAAATTCTTACAAAGTCATCTATCCATTTAACAAATATTTATTGATCACATCCTATAAGCTGAGTACTGTTCTAGGCCCTGGGTATACAGCAATAAACAAAAAGACAAAACTTCCTGATGCTATGGTGCTCGTATTTTAGTTCAACATACTAACTCCAGTTTAGTTGGGCATTCAGCAGTGCCCCCTTCCCACTGTAAAATTTCAACATTTGAAATCAGGGTTTGTCTAGAAAATTAGAGGCTTATAATCAAGCTGTTCATATGACAATACTTAATGCTTTGAAGATGGGTAAGGTTTTTTGGAAAGAGTTTGAAGTTTCAGAGCTAAGCCTGGTAAATGACCTGGGTGACACAGCTGGAGAAGAGCATTTATCTAATGCCATGATTAAAATAATAAGACTGAATGCTCCACTGGACTGGGTGCCTCTTGAAGGCAAGGACTCTGTCCTGTTTATCTCTCATTTCCCAATTGCTGGCACAGTGCCTGCCACTTAGTGGGTGTTTAACGACTTTGCAAAAGAAATGAATTGACAGGTGAATAAGGAGATTTTGGTGATCTCCTCTACTCTCATGACTTTAAATACCATCTAGACAGAGATAAATCCCAAATATATATCTCCAGGCCAGAACTTGCCTCTGAATGCTAGACTGCTATATCCAATTGCCTTCTCATCCTACCTAGAGGTCTTATAAGCATCTCTAACTTCACAGGTCAAAAGTCAAATTCCTGATTCCTCCTCTACCCCCCTCCCAAACTGGTCCACCCATAGACTGCCCCTACTCTGTCAAATACAGCTTCACCCTTCCAGGTGCTCAGGACAAAAATCTTGAAGTCATCCTTGACTCCCTTCATCCTCGACAGCTGATTTGATGGGCTTCTTATCCATCAAGATATTCTTATGGTTCTACCTTCAAAATATACATTTCCAGAATCTGTCTACTTCTCACTGTCTCCGCTGCTTTTACCTGGTTCAAGCTACCAGGATTATTGTAACAGACTCCTGACTTGCCTCCCAACTTATACGTTTGCCCCCTAGCAGTCTAGTCTCCCCACAACAGCCAAAGTAATCTGTTAAACATGTAAGATTGTGTAACTCCCCCAACGGCGTCTCTAATTTCTCCAAGTCTAAGTCCTTAGAGCTGTAATTTGCCCCTGCCTCATTTTCTACTCTCCCTTTAGCTCACTGTTCCAGCCACTCGCTCACCTCCTTGCTGATCCTTAAATGGTCTGGCATGAGGTTCAGGACTAAGGCCTTGGTACTCACTGTTCCCTCTGCCGGGAATGAGGTTCCCAACATGGTTCTTGCTCCCTTGCCTCAAAGGTCACCATCTCAGGGAGACCTTTCTTGACCACTCCATTCAAAACTGAAACCACAGTATGGCTCCCATTCTCCTTTCCTGTTTTATTTTTCTCCTTGGCACTCATGCCTGTTTAACGTACCATATATTCTCCTTACGTATTTTTGTCTCTCCCCACCACATTATAATCTCCATAAAGGCAGGAATTTTTGTTTACTTTGTTCACTGCTTAATCCCCAAGACCTAAAACAGCGCCTGTTTAATGAAATGAAAGTGCCCAATGAAGGGACAACAATAAAGCTAAACTTAATGAGCATTTACCATGTGAGGCTCCATCGCGGGGGACCCACAGGTGATACCTAATTTTTACAGAGGAGGAAATTGAGGCACAAAGAAGCAGAAAAGCCATGATTACATACCCAGGTCTAACTCAACCGCGTGTTCTTTTCTCCAGAACCCGGTGCCTCTCCTGTGCCAGAACCAGGTGGAGAGCCCCGAGCGCTCTGAGTCCACGCCACCGCTCCCCCCTCGCAGCCCGAGAGCAGGAGAGCTGCCGGGCCGGAACGGCTGTCGGAACAGAGACTGAATCCTCTCAGCAGTAGGCACCGCCCACTTTTTTACTGATTGGTTTTAGTTACCTCGACTAGGAAAGGGATGCTGTCTGGGGATGCAGGATTAGTGGCGCTTCATCCCAGAGCTAGCGGATGCTTTCCCGCCGCCGCAAGAAACGGAAATCCAAAGTCAAGGGTCTCGGATTCCGCCCGGAGGGCTCTTCCCGCCGCTCCCGGAAGCTGCTCTCGCTGCCGGGGTAACGGGCGGCGGCGGCGGCGGCGGCGGCGGCGTTGGCGGCGTTGTTGTTATTATGGACCTGGAGGAGGCGGTGAGGGGGTCGAGTGCCGCGCAGCAGGGCGGCGGGGCTGGAGGGGAGGGAGGCTGAGGAGTAGGGGTGGAGGACGCCGGATGGCTGTGGGGGCTGCCACTGGCCGAAGGGGGACGGGGCGGAAGGCTGCGGCGTGGGGACAGGGATGGGGCTGGCGGGGCTGGCGGGCCGCGTCTGCCCGCGCTTTGGGGGAAGAGGCTGGAGTTTCTGGCTGGGTGAGGTTGTGGGTGAAGGGACAGTGGGGTGTTGGTCGATGTGGGTATGTTTCGGGAGGAGGCTGAAGTTGTGGGTTTTGTGGGGTGGCCACCCACGTGTCTTATCTCTAAACGGGACCACCCAGAAGTTCCTTTTGATGCTGGAGGTTAGGCGAGGGAGGCGGGGCTTGGAACCAGAATGCCCCCAAGTAACCCCTGCTGGTGTCTCTGCGAATCTTAGCCATGGCCTGTGCAGGAATTCCAAATTCAGGTTTGGAGACACTCCGAGATTTCGATAGTTATCCACATGGAGTCACTGAAAACTTGACCAACTTGTTGAAATAGATTTGGCATGCATTTTGACCCACTTCATAAAATGCCACTCTTTGATGGTGTTAGAGGAACAGTCGGTAATTAGGTCAACAATAATAAGATTTCACCCACCAGAGAGTTGCGAATGGATAATTTGGTGCCAGTCTATGTATGTACAGAAGCATTATGGTGATAGAAGGCCTTACTCATTGTAGACGCTCAATAAATGTCTACTGAATGAGGGTTAACGTCTGTAGATGCTAGGTTAATGAAATTAGCAATTAGAACTCACCATTAGCGTCGTATATAGCTATGAGTAGGGATCTTGTCTGTTTTGCTCACCCTCAAATCCCCAGCACCTAGTTAAGTGCCTAGTACATACATTATACATTATACATTATATTGCTGCGTGAACAAATCGAAACTTGAAACAACCCTAATAAAACTGTGGCTCCTTTGTGGTGGGTATGTGTTCTTAGTGTCCTGGAGGAAGTTCCAAATGGTATGCTATTTCTATTTTTTAAGTCTTCTCTATTCTTGAATCTTATCATCTTTTTCCTCACAGCATGTTCAAGGAGTTTTATTTACTCATCTTTTTTTCCCACTTTACCCCTACCACCTTGTCTTCTTTGTCTTTTTTTTTTTTCACCCTCACACACTGCATATTTTAGAAACATTTCTTTAATAGTTTAATTCAGTTTCAAATGGCTCAGACTGAACTGTTCTTCTTGTTTATAGATAATCCCTCTGGTATATTTTCTATTCTCAGTGATTCTTTATTTATAGAGTAAAATTGTAGGGAACCCTCTAAGTAGAACTGCAGCATTTAGGTACAATGTATTGAATGTGGTTTTTCTTTTCTCCTACAGAAAGAGTTCAAAGACCGTTGTTCTCAGTGTGCTGCTGTCTCTTGGGGTCTCACTGATGAAGGCAAATATTATTGCACTTCTTGCCACAATGTTACAGAAGTAAGTAACAGACCTCATTTATGAATTTGCTTGTGCTTTAAAAGTTGCAGTTTCAGCCTAACATGTGGCATAGGTCCCCCCAAAACTGATCTATTTTTATTACTCAGGCAATGTCCAAATATGAAAAATGTAAGCGGTCCTCAAATGCTTACACAAGGGTTGAAGACTTTGTAAGGTAGATTTAGGATGAGCTTTTGAAATTATGTTGGGCCACATATATAAATGTTTTCCTGATTCAGACTGTGTAGTATGTATATAAGGGGAAATAATTAAAATTGCACTTACAAGATGATGCATTTATTTTTATTAGTTACCACTTATTTAAGAGTTTTTAATGTATTGTGGTAGCTTAGAGGTTTGGAAGACAGAATGTTAGAAAGACTGTTGGGAGTATGAGAAATGTGCTTCATCGTCATTATATCTTTGTACAGTGCCTTACACATTACAGAGTGTTTTCTCATCCATTAATTCATCCCCTCATAACAACCTGTGAGATGTGTATACTATTACACCTATCTGTAGATGGGGCAAGCAAGGCTCATCAGTTGAGTGAGTTTGCCATAGTCACATGGATAGAGTGCTGAGCCAGGACTTGAACCTCAGGCTTCCGACGCCAGTGGTCATTTTATTGCACCACACCTGTCTCTTAAGGTAGAGGTTGGCCTACTGTCCTGTGGAACCTTGGTAAATGAGGCTACCTTCACACTGGGAGTGCTAGGTCCTCTGGGACAGGCTAAACATGCCAGGACTCTGCTCTCTGGAAAAGGATTTGCTCAAAGTTTACAGAGCCAGGAAGGAACAGATATACTACCTTTGCCGTATAGGCCTATGTAAGAAAGGTAAATTTGGGACAAATATAAGTAACTGTGTGAACTTCTTCTGGCCAGGATGGAGTAACAGGAGCCCACCTTAAACAACTAAAAGCCTGGACAAAATGTATGAAGTAAAAAATAGTTTTCTTGAGAAAAGTGGTTAATTTCACTTGCAACTCAATCACCCAAGAGCTTTTCCTTGAGACAGTCTTTGTTCTTCAGTCTGCTTCCCATTTGGTCACACAGAGTATTAAGAAGATATGTACTAAAAAAAAGAAGATATGTACTCAGTCGATGAAATTGTTGATGTGATGGATATGTTCATTACCTTGTTTGTGGTGATGGTCTCGTGGATATACATACATACACACACATCAACTTGTACACTTTAAATATGTGCAGTTTGCTTTGATGTATATTGAGACATTAATAGGTTTTGCTTTTGTACCAGCAGTGCAAATGTAAACATGGTGAAGGAAGATGTGTCTAAATGGACTGTTTATCATTAGCAGATGAAGTCAGCATATACTATTTTTGGAGAAATTAAACTACATTAACTAATTGCTTTCTTTTATTTCTGTCTTTGATAATGTTTCTGTTTGTTTCTATCTGATAAAATCTGCTGCAGTCGTTTTTTAACTTGAAAGCCCCTAATGCCACTGTTTCCACATTTGAAAGATATCAGCCTGTATGGAATGACTTGTCAAGAATGTAGCATTCTTGAGGGTGGGCACCATCTTTAAACAGGCACAGAACCTGTCTCAATGCCTCCCATGTGATAGGCAGAGCTCTGTGTTGCCCAACTTAAGTGGTTTCTCTTGGCTTTATTGTCTTCATATAGAGTGTGACACAATCAGTCCTTCCTGGAGAGCAGGGGTGTGGCGTGGCGGTGTGGAAATCCAGCGGGTGGGGAATGGCCGACGAGATGGTGGTTTGCACCTGCAAAGAGTGGAGGCTGTGGCACAACTTCCCCTGTTTTTCTGCTCCTTTCATTGCCCTTCAACTTACTCTGTATATAATTCTCATGTTTTAGATACTCCACTGTCTGGAAGAAGGCCTTCTGAATTGATAAAGGAATTAGAATGTTATCTTGATTGATTTTATACAGGAAAAAAATTTTCAGGTCTTAAATCCGGCCAATTTATATTATAGACATTCTCGGAAGTATTTTGTGGGTATTTAATAAAGGTGTATGCTAGAATTTTGATCATAAGAGCAGATTTATTGTAGAAAATTTAGAAATTATGAAGATGAAAGCTAAAATTATCAGTGATCTCAACATACAACATTTCTTTTCATAGCTTCCATTTAGTCTTTTTTTTTTCTTTTTTCTGTGTATGAGAAGGGAAAGGGGATGTGGGTGAGTACCACTGAATCTTCTGTCTTAATAAATATTGTCCTGTGTTATTCTAAACATTTGTGGACGTGTTAATTGACTGTATAAATATTCCACAATATAACTATTCAGTAATTTAATTAGTTACAGCTTCAGTTTGTATATGTAGCTTTTTCTAGCTTTTAGTTATTTCACATTTTGTCTAATCCAGATTTTAAGCCCTTTTTTTTTTTTTTTTCTTGCCTACTCTTTATAGGTTTTACCTGTTTTTGCTGGGTAACTGCTTTGGTGTGTATTCTGACATGTCTTATTTTCTCAGTGTGGCCAACCCAGTCCACCAGAACTGCTTTGAATGTGGTTTCTTTAACAAGAGAGGATGTATTCCAAAAATCCTGTTAGAGACATTTCTTTTGTTCTTAATGAAAGTTGAAGATAAACTTCATTCCAAAGCTCTAAATTTGGACAAATATATAAATGTTCCCTACTGGTTAAAAATCTTCACCTTTTCCCCATCATTTAGACCTAATTCTTTTATATTTTGGTTGTGAGAGAACCAGAATCTTAGGTACCAGCCTTTGAGAGAACTTAGAATTGAAGACTTTGGGATGAACTGTATTCAGCGTTCAGTCATTCTAAAATCCTGTAGGTTTGATTAAGAATAAAAGTAGCACTTTTATAATTTCATAAATAAAGCTGTTTTAGAGTATTATTCAAACACATAGAAAAGTAGGATGAAACTAATCTGTATGTAGCTTAGGCATTGCTGACCACAGTGAATACAGCAGTTATTTTAATTTCAAAGTATGTTTTGGATAGAGAAAAAAGTGAATAAATTTGACTTTACGATTGGTTTCAAACAATTAAAAATTGATTTAAAATAAAAGTTTATTCATTTGACATACATTTATTTAGTGTTTACTGTGTTCCTGGCACAGTTTTAGGTACTGAGAAATTTTGAATCAGAAAGCAATATAGGGCTTCCCTGGTGGCGCAGTGGTTGAGAGTCCGCCTGCCGATGCAGGGGACACGGGTTCGTGCCCCGGTCCGGGAAGATCCCACATGCCGTGGAGTGGCTCGGCCCGTGAGCCGTGGCCGCTGAGCCTGCGCGTCCAGAGCCTGTGCTCCGCAACGGGAGAGGCCACAACAGTGAGAGGCCCGCGTACTGCAAAAAAAAAAAAAAAGCAATATAAAGGCTAACCAGAATGTTACACTTTGTCTAATTTCCCCAA